CCCCAAAGCCGTCGTCGATCTTGGCCATCACCTCAGAGACGGCCATCCAGTCAACGCTTCGCCAGCAGGCCCCGGCACAGTCCACGCTATGCCGGCATGGCGCGGTCCAGTCCACGCTGTACCACCAGGGCCTTTCCAGTCCGCGCTGTACCGGCAGGGCCCGGTCCATTCCACGCTATGCCGGCATTGCCCGGTCCAGTCCGCGTTGTACCAGCACGGCCTGGTCCAATCTACGCTGTATCAGCAGGACCCGGTCCAGTCCGCGTTGTACCAACACGGCCGGGTCCAGTCCACGCTGTGCCAGCAGAGCTCAGTCCAGTCGCGGTCTCAGTCGCTCCACGCCGCCGCCGTCAGCGGCAAAAGCAGCGCACTCGTGCTCATCACCTGCGGGGACGAACCGGAAGCTAGGCGCGCCCTATGTCTTAGACCGCTGCTCGCCGAGGCCCTCTGTGCCCTGTGTGCCCTGCTGTGCCTGTGGAAATGCAACGGACCACGCACAAACCACACTCGACGGGGCAATAACAAATATGCATTAAACATGGTATGACTTTGCGTTGCCAGCAGCAGAGCTGTGGCGAATTAGCGCGATACTCACACGGCGCCGTGCTGAGGCGATGGTTGAGGCAAGGTCAAATAACCGGTCCGTGCATTGCTGCTATTTGCGACCAGTCACGTGGGGCTAGTGCTGGCTGGTAAGCCAGAGCAGCCTGATGACGGCAGGCCAGGCTGCGGTGTCACCACTCGGGACTGTCCGGAAGGGGAGGCTAAAAAAAAGCTTGGCATTTGCCTCTCCCGTTCGCTATGTGCGGTGGCGGCCAGTTGTGGCAGGTTGCAGTGTCTCCGTTTGAGGTTCTCTGGAAGAGGAGACCTACAAGCCTGACGTTTGCATTTCCAGTTTACTCTATGCGGTGATGGATAGTTGTGCCAGGTTGTGGTGCCACCGCCTGAGACTTCCTCTAGGGGGAAGCTAAAAAGCTGGTATAAATATATGAAGAAATGCTCACATTGCAGGCCTGCAGCCAGTGGCGGGTCTCGTGGGAAATCGGGAGAACACAGCTTCTATGCAAAGAATATCCTTCGACGGAGTACCGCTTTGCTTTGCCATTCTATTTAGGGACAGCTCCAGAATGAGGCGTCTTATAAAAATGAAATCGCCGAAATCTGATACTCGTTGGTTTTCCACTAAGCTTAGGCCATGGTGTGGCGGTCCAGATATAGCTCTTTGTCGGGTTGTACTATATATGACCTTGGATGTCTCTTCACTGGAGATTTACTGGATTCGGCACTACCTTCAGCGCTGGCGCTATCACTACCCCCATGTAATTTAGTCCCATGATATAAGCAGTCAACTCGCGACATCTTTTTTATGTTTTTCACTGGACGCAAGAATAAAGTTACCTAAATCGGGGAGCAATTGCGAATTGTAAAAAGGCTAGTGGAATCTGTATTTTGATCTCCCATATCGCCGGGATCTCCCCAGCATCACCCTTGGAAAAAGCCCTCCCTGGCGCTTTTTGAAAAGTGAGTCATAGAAGTTTCACTTTTGCATTTTGTATCAGGTTCTGATTCAGCTTTCAGCTCGATTCTAATTCGAAATGGATTGTAGTCAAGCGGAATAAACGCAAATCTGTATTATGCAGAGGAGATGAAACTGGGAGACAAGGTGCCTCTTCGGAGCAAGTGGTCAGTTTCGAGGTGCCTTCCGTATAGTCGGTCGAGACCTATTCTGTGTCAGAGTATGCAGTTCAAATGTGATGTGCTGTGTGTAGTACAATGTCAGGGTCTGGGTGTCCCGCTCATGCCCGCCCTGAGACACACACAAACAGCAGCGTCAGGTCACCGCGGAGCCCCGCGCGTCGACGCCTCCTTATCATGCTCTGCTTCCCACGTGTGACCTCTCGTCGCGCTCAGTGCAGTCTGATACATTAGCCGCAATACAACACCACTCGACGTGAGAACAGCACTCCAGCCTGCAACACCCTACAAAGAACCTGATCAGGCAACATGTGCTGTATCGGCAAACACGATGCCACACGTGCAAAATACCTGCAACAACTTAGGCTTCGATGGCTCAGCTAGGTCAGCCTCCCTGGCGCGCTGATTCGGAATACACGGCCGTGCCACAGTCTGATCAGGAATACACGGCCGTGCTACAGTCTGATCCGGAATACACGGCCGTGCTACAGTCTAATCCGGAATGCACGGCTGTGTCACAGTCTGATCCCGAATACAGTCCCTCGCTCCAGTCTGGTCCAGAATGCACGGCCGCGCCACAGTCTAGTCCAGAATACACGGGCGCGCCGCGGTCTAGTCCATCCAGACCACACGGGTGTCTTGAAGTGTGATCCGACATCTTCAGCGTAACTGCTCCGCGCACCTGAAGTGCCATCGGTGAAATGCAATCTATAAGAGCAGTCCCTTGATTTGCTGTAGGTGAACCCCGGCAAATCAGTTTGTGACATATGTTTTTAGGTATATTCTCTATGACACTGGCAGCAATAATTTCAAGACTCTTGCGGCCATTCTTCTAATCGATGGCTGTTGACCATTACCACAACCATAGCAGTTCAAATAAACAGACCGAAGGAGCTTATCGATGCAGTAGGCATGCAGATTGGCAAAACCTGCTTTTGTTTATAACGATCTTGCAAGTCAAATGTCGGACTGTTTGAATATCTTGCAAAGAATGTCGCATAGTTACATTACATGATTTCTCACTGTGATACCGGTATTTCGCGTGTGTTCATGATTTTCAGTTGCAGTGGGCAAAGTTCGTCTCGCTGTCTTCACCAAGTCAGTTTTATATATTATATCACTTACCGTAGCATCCTTAACAGACTTAAGTTCACACATCCTGCCCGCAGAACTGCACCCGAGTGCTGCGCCGAAAACATTGTCATTCCAGATGTTGATGAACCATTGCCACCAGTAGCATCTCATCAGGGCTTCATCGCTCACTTGATTCCGTGTTTTTGTATATTTTTGTAGGCCTTAAATCAGGTTCAGCAGCCGGCACGTACTGAACACATGGTTCTTTGCGTCGCAGTTGATTGGGGCGGGAGCACTTTTGGTCGCCTCTTCATGGAGCTGGACGTAAAATTTGGTTCAAAGAATCCCAACAATCACAGCGCTGTGCTTGCTCAGCTTCATCAACATTATGAAATTACCAGACAGACACCAGTCTGCCCTTCTCCAGTGGCCAGTTGGTGCTCCGTTCACCGACTGTTTCCTGGAGGCGCTCCTCCCATGTCTTCCCCTCTGCATCTTTAGTCACCCCTCTGCTCCCTCCGACTGTCTACGAGATCTGCTTCTGCGTCTGTCTCCCTTATTCAACCGCTTGCAGCACCCGTGCCTGCGCATGCCTCATCCCTCTTTTGTGCCCTGAATCCGCCCCCGCGTCCCCTGCACCCCCTGACTGTTCCCTGGATCCGCTGCTGCTCTCCACGAGTCAGATCCGGTGTCCGGATGTCATGCTGCTATACGTACCACCGGCCGCAGTGTTTATCTGAAGGCAGTATCACGTGGTGAGTCGGATGTGACGGGGCCGCCGCGCCGGTGGTGTCTTCTTGATCGAGCGCACTACAAGGCGACATTTCAACCCGTCGTGAATGACATCGCCGAGTGGCGTACCATTAGAGCCAGCGCAGTGGTGAATTTAAGACACTAGTAGACTTTAGCTGGGAGCGGCCCTCCCTAGGCGTGACGGTGCTCAGCTCTATCTGCCAGTGCGCAGGTGTGCTGAAGCGGAGGAGCAGTGTCTCAAGAAACGAGTCTACGAGTGAGGAAATATTAGTCGGTCAGCGGGTAACGAGCCCATGAGTCGCCGCGGGTGCCGTGCTGGTCCGTGGGCGCACGCTGCTGCCAGAGTCGTCCCGGCCTCTCGCGCCTCCACGGCCCCACAGGACGCCTGCACCGGACGGAGCCGTCAAGTCGACCTGGCGATCAAGCCAACGGTTTAGCACGGTGCCTTCGTCACCGCCGCCTGCCGCTGATACAGTGTCGGTCGTGGCGGCAGCCTGCCAGCGGCTCACCGAGTCACCACGGTGCCGGCGCAACGATGACCAAGTGTGAACGGCACACTGACGTCCACACGGCCTGGTGTAAGCATCTCGCTGGTGTCTTGCGATGAACGCAGAAGCCGCCCGTCCCACTCGCTGAGGCCGTGCTCACACCAGACTCCAGTGTGAACGCATACTTTGAACGTACTCGCTCACCAGCTTCCTGTGTAGACACAGGCTTTGACCGTGCTCTTGCACGAGGTCTGAGGCGAAGATCGGATTTCCCATCGCGTCATGGCAAATATTTCCCAGCACGCTGGTCGCAGCCAGCCTCGGGCCTTTTCGTCTCCTTGATGCCGACAACGTGACGGTTTACCGCTCCAGAGCCGAGGTATGGGGCCAGGCCAGTTTGGTCAGCGGGTGCGTCAGAAAGCCTGGCGTCGTATATCCGCTGAGAGCATGGCACGCCATGTAGTCCTGGCTGCAGCGATCGAGTCCGAGCCAATCCGCAAACTTAAGAGCAGACACTACCAAAAGCATGTCGCAGAAAACCACAAAGTTGACAACAGATGGCTCCGTCTGTCATTAGTCGCCAAGTTTTTGTCACAGGTTTTTGAGACACCGTTGGAACGCCCCGGGTCTCAGTCTGGGTTCATATCACGACACTCGGGGCTTGACTGTCCTCCCATTCGTCGAAATAATGAATGACAGATAAGACTCCCGACCAACGTCTACCCGAATGTGTCCCCCATGTGACGCTCACTGGGCGTCACACAGCGTTCGCAGTTTCCCGTCATGCCTGTGGCGAGGTGCTGTAACATGTCTCTGATCGTCGTTTCTCGTCATGTTTGTGGCGAGGTGGTGTGACATGTCTCTGACCGTGACGGCCTATAGCGCGCTGACATTCTTCAAAATGGTTGATAGAGTTTGATGCGAGGTCTATTGGCAAGCGTGGTGTATGTGTTTGTGCCAGTCGTGGACGGTTCCCACCCTGTCCTTCAGATGAGATGCTGGAGCACGAGACATCGAGCCTGCCAGTGCGCGTGCATGACCTGGAGAAGCTGGTGCGGGAGCAGCAGGACGAGATCGCCTTCCTCAAGTCGACCGTGTCCGATCTGCAACTCCGCCTGAGCCAGGTGGAGGGACACAGAGGTCAGTCGGCCTTAGAGGGATGCTCACATGCCAGGTCGGCTTTGCGGTCCTGAAACTGTGGTGGTTGTTAGCGACGCCCGAGCCTCACGAAGTCGGATTTCCTGCTGTTGTGAGAACATAGTATGGCAGCCACCTAGTAAGAATAGCGTCCAGCCAAGTGTGTTGTGCGACGATGTGATTTCAACGCTCATGCAGCCATGCCCAACACACCAATATAACTTGCGTATGATCGACACGGCGGTAGCTATGGTGGGCTTGAACACGTTGTTTTAAACATGTTCCACATATCGTAGCCAGCACGCTGAGGGCTCCTCCACCTCCGACCCGTACTGAGGGTTCCTCCACCTCCGACCCGCTCGATCGGGCGGGGCTGACCGCTGTCCGCTCTGTGATGCGAGGTCGGCTGACCGTCCTCCCGCTGGGAAGTGGGCCTGGCAAGCCGCCTGCCGGGACGGCCGGCTCCCCTCCGGCTTCCGGCCGGGCGCGGCCGTGCCGCCTCTCCGGGTCCCGACCGGGCGCGGCCGTACCGTCTCTCCGGCTCCGGCTGGGCGCGGCAGTACCTCCTCTCAGCTCCGGCTGGGCGCGGCCATGAAGCCTCTTTGGCTCCGGTCGGACGCGGCCGTACCGCTTCCCTCGGCTCCGGCCGGTCGTGGCCGTGCTGCATCTCCGGCTGCGGTCGGATGCGGCTGTACCGCCTCTCCGACACCGGCCAGGCGCGGTTGCACTGCCTTCCTGGCTCTGACCGGGTGTGGTTGCACTGTCTCTCCGGTTCCTTAGCTACCGGCAGAGTACGGTTTGCTGGAGGACAGGCAGAGAGGTGTCCTCAACCGGACCACCGCTGGATCCGGGACAGTTCGGCGGTTCACCACAGTCTGTACGAAACCCGTCCGACGGGAGCCGGCAGCAGCGAGCGGGTCAGGTCTGACAGGAGCCGGCAGCAGCGAGCGGGTCCAGTCCGAGAGGAGCTGGCAGTAGCGAGCGCGCCCGCTTCGACGCAGGCTCGTTACAGCTCAGTCCCCACGAACGCTTGGTGGCGGTGGCGCGGCGGCCCAAGCTTCGCCCAGCTTTCAGTTCAGTCTTCAGGCAGCCATGTGAGGGCAGCGGTGTGTGGTATTGCCTGGTCTGGTGCCTTTCTGGGAAAATTCAATAGACCGCCTTCCGCTGTCATTCAATGCTAACAATCCAGGCGCTCCAGACACGATGCCTTAGGTTGGGATATGGTAAGATTCGACACATGGTTGATGTGCCAGCAAGTCTAATGTGGCGATTGCTCTTGTTCTTGTAGCGAATGTTTTGTCCATGGAGCACACAGCTGCTTAATCGTCCAAGCATTGTTTTCGGATTAGTCTCGTCCATCAGACCAGGGGATGAGCCGTGACAGGTTTCGATTCATCACGCTCCATGCCCTCGAACAAGGGCCCTACCATCGCGCCGCCCCTCCTGCCTGCTGGACGCCAGTGACTGCTTCCCTGCCATATAGATGTGTCAAAAATATAGCCAACCTACCAATACGCACTGACTACATTCCTCAGTCTGGCACCTGTCAGCCGATTCGATCTCCGAGCTCAGCCCATCAGCCGAACAGCCGATGTCCTATCGCACCTAAAGGTTAGGCCCAGAGCGTTGATAGGCCGCTGGCAGTATATGAACATAAAGAGCGTTCAGTTACAAGTAAATCATGAGGTAGGCGTTACGTAGCCACCGAGTCTTAATAGAATAAGTATCGCAAGGTTCACGGTGGTCGCCAAGCTCAAATATAAGTAAATGGCTAAAACAGGTCGCTAATCGGGCCTGTGAAATCTGTAAACAGTACTAGCGAACTTCAACGTGTGGTGGAGACCATACGCGAGGCGACCGGCACTCGATCGGTGAGAACCCTGTCACCGATCGGCCGCGCGGTGCTGCGGCTGGCCTTTTGCCCGTTGAGATATGAATATGTTGCATGTGGCAGAGCGTTAAAGGCATCGAGACCACGGAAAAAGCCCGATCGGGGTAAATATGCAAAAACTTGAGGCATACTCGCCTGGCTCATTTCGTGACTGTCTTTTGGTGTTTGCCTTCTGCACTCTTCATGCTGAGATAGTTTTGCCGCCCTTTATGCGGAGAAAACTCGACAACGTATTGGCCCCAGCACGGATCCGGTGCGGGGGGGGGGGGGGGCGAGTACCACGTAGTTTTTCTTCCATTACAGTGTGTTTTGGCACGGCCGGAGGCCAAACAGTAAGTTAACAATATTTTAGGTGCACAAGTTTTGCTTGTGCTCAAATCCCTTTTTGGGAATGATAATTTTATGTTCCTTCTGGAGAAAATTAAGCACAGAAAACCTATTGCTGGGCCTTATCACCGGAAGGTACCGACATTTCGCTGTAGTCATTCCACGTCAAATCGATCGGACCATAACATGGCACTCTCTTCAGATTTGACAGAAACACGCCTATGATTTAATTACGCGGTGAAAACACGAATATGCAAAGTTAGAGATCTGTACGGCGTACCAATTATGAACGAGGAGCGGATGAAAATACGCGATGACGTCATAAACAGTATCTTTTAAGTTGCTTTAGCCAAAGAAAAATTGTGGGTTTAGTGCTTGAGGAAAATGTATCGGAAAGCTAAATAGCTATATTTTTGTAAGATGGCTCAATATAACTTCAAAGTCGATTAGATTCATGTGGTGACATACATCACCTATGATATCACTTTCAGAAAAATATGGTGCCTTCGATTTTCTTTGAAATTGCGGTCAGTTCAAGACCAATTTGTTGCCGTTCAGACTAAAACAAGAAATTGACGTGATCTCTTCTAGATCAGTTGCAAATTGAACTGGAACATTGGCGGATCGCGGCGGCGTGCCATGAGCCGACGATCGGGTGTCGGGTGGCCGGCGCGACCGGCTAACTGCATCGGAAACTGTCACCAAGACCCTGAAACCACCCATTTCAATTTCAAAACCAGTCATTTTGGCACTGTTTAGGAAACCTAGAACAATGTCTGAATGACAAGGGCGTGCTAATGGATCTCACATACCTGTCATCCTTCACGAGTCGCGTTGATCGCAGCGTCCTGCGCTCCGAGTCCTCACAGCACTTCGATAAACATCACATCAAGTTGAAATGGAGCGTAACATGAGAAAAAACGAACAACTTATCTAAAGTTGCATCCTTTTTTACTTGTCTTCTCTGAAGCTCGAACAAACGATGGCCCAGCATAGCTTGAACCACGCACATGAAATTCGATATAGCACTCAGCGAATTCGACACCGTCTCCGAGTAAATCAGGCCGGGGCCAAGGAAAGGTTTAGTGAGTGGGAAGTCTCACTGCCGGCGAGTAAATCAGGCTGGGGCCCAAGAAAGGTTCAGTGAGTGGGAAGTCTCACTGCCGGCGAGTAAATCAGGCCGGGGCCCAATAAAGGTTCAGTGAGTGGGAAGTCTCACTGCCGGCGAGTAAATCAGGCCGGGGCCCAAGAAAGGTTCAGTGAGCGGGGAGTCTCACTGCCGGGAGGGCGGGGAAGTAAGTACCGTGCAGTTGTGCTCATTTTAGAAAGCGCCCCAATGAAGTGCTCATTAAAAAAAATGGGTTGAAATTAGTTGAAAAATATTGGAAAACATTGTTTGGGTGGCGTTACGAACAATACTACGGCGAGTGCGGTGTAAACCATCCTGTTATTATACACGGGGGCCGCACTGGTGAATAACTTGTCCGCCGTTGCACGGGTACTGTTGACAACGCGACGGCTTAAGAAGGGAAGGAGGAAGTTCGGTGTTATCTCGAATGGCATGACGGAATGTTTATGCATTGGCCACTGGCTTTTCGGAACACGATTATCTTATCCCACAAGACGCAGTCCAAAGATGACATTGGGAAAACCCTCATGAGCGAGTAGCGACTTAACAATATACATCCAACCGTGGTATGCTTCAAAGCGGCTTATGACTTCGTCAGTGAAGTTATCTGTGTCATCAGTGATAGCTCAACTCGTTCAGCAGCTACAGAATACACTCCACAGTCATAGCCAGGAAAAAATGTTACCCAAGCTGAAAGCTTTCCACACAGTAAGAAACAAGTTAATTTCCATACCTATATGGCCCGATATAAAACATGTGTAACTCCCTCAACTTGTGCCACCATACTAATTTAGGCCTGAATGTGCATTGCACGTCCTCGCGACCTTTCATGCGATGTACCCATTCATCGAAGTGTGGGGGGGGACACTATTATATGCTTGACAGGGTATGGAAATCTGTGGTGCCCACAACAAGATCATATCCTAGCGTCACATGATATATTTCGCAGCTGCACCGACCACATTGCTGGCTAGCGAGCAGGTGAACTATGGACACAGTTTATGAAATGCTCTACGAGGCGCAGCATGAAGAGGTACACATTTGTGCATTTCAATCATGGCTTATATGTCAAACGCATGCGTACACCTCATCTTTCAACGAATAGTCCTGTAAGTTGTCTCGTACTTCACGTAGTTTAACTTTACCGTTTCATGTCCATTCGTAAGCCTTATTCTGATATATGTGACAGCTGGTGGAGTCCGCAAAACTGACCAATGCCTGGAGTGTAGGTTAACAAACGCATGAGCGCTGAGTGGAACGCACAGCTACATCCGTCATCAACCCTGGGAAAACACGCCCCAGATGGAGTTATATCAATGAGCATAACTGCTCGAACTTCCAAAGAAATCACGTGAAGGAAGAATGCGGCGCAGGAAATTGCCATTGTGACGACATAATTGTAAGAAAACCTACGGTGCAGAACAAGCAACCAAGGATTTGAACCTTCTTGCTTTATTTTTTTGCATCCTCATTAACTGACATGAACAAGTGATCATTTGCATAACTTGATACAAACCGCTTGATAAGCGACGGCTTTGGACGAATGATGCAGGGTGGCCCCAAAAAATGGGATTCAACTTTTGATAGGCTTCATTTCTTATTTTTTTGTCAGAACTGAATGAAACCTCGGTTATTACTTGTAAAAATGACTGCTTTCAGAAGTTCTGTGCGACTGCATCTACAGTCAGTGGTTTTGTTGTGGCATATTTTATGTTATATGATACGATTACGGTGACGGAACGGTAATGCGGTTATATTACACGATTGGTGGTTTTGCGTGGTATTGCTAAGTGAGCAGTGTGCGACCTCACTGCGGTCCGTGTTCGGTGCGAGGCGTCCTCCGGCCAACGACCACCGGTCAGTTGTCGGCAGTCCCTAGTCACCGCCCTGCCGACATCACACATGGTCAGCGCTTCGACACTCGGAGACGCTCAGTCGCGGTGGCAGCCAGTGCCGGCCCCACCGGAAGACTCGATCAGTCGCGGGGCAGACAGTGCCGGCCCCACCGGAAGACTCGATCAGTCGCGGTGGCGGACAGTGCCGGCCCCACCGGAAGACTCGATCAGTCGCGGTGGCAGGCAGTGCCGGCCCCACTGGAAGACTCGATCAGTCGCGGGGCAGACAGTGCCGGCCCCACCGGAAGACTCGATCAGTCGCGGTGGCAGGCAGTGCCGGCCCCACCGGAAGACTCGATCAGTCACGGTGGCAGACAGTGCCGGCCCCACCGGAAGGCTCCGTCTGGTCAGGTACTGGATGCAGCCCACTGACCTCGCCTGGAGCTGACCTGGAAGCGCTCGGTACGGCGCGCTTTCGGTTACTGGTCCACTCACTCCATGACCGATCAATTTGATCGTTTTCGTGCGATCACGTGACCATTGTCTTCCGGTCGACGATCCTCTTTCCTGCGAGGATCCTCGAGGAAAGGCATTACGCCTGCCCCCTGACTCAGCGCGGCGGTTAACAGCCAGGGCTTCGTCACCCTCGAGGGAGCGCTCTCAGCCTTGATGCAGCCGGAGGAAATGCCAACGTGTGTTGGGGTCGTGCGATCTGTTCTTGTGTGATCGCATCGCATGTAGGTACCTTAACCGGTCGCTGATTGCGGAAGCTCCGGCTGGTACCGCCTGGCACCGGGTGGATTATCAGTGGTGCAACTACTCTTGTGGTTGACTGTATGAACAGTGTATTCATTACTGGAAATCAACACGGTATGACACATTTTTGCGACGCGGTCAGGCTGGGATTTGGATACGTGATTTCTAAGCTTTTTGCTTCGACTCACGCAAAATAAAGTAGAACGCAGGTTGACACACCTGATCACGATATGACACGGGGCAGTTGGAACCTATTGAAATCTAGACACATTGTAATGCAGTGAGTTTGGCTCGTTATTGAGTTTTAAAAGTAGCTAATCGCTGCTGGCTTTGTACTGGGAATGAATATAAAAGCATCGGAACGTATTGTCACTGTGCCGCAACCAGCCTCAAAGCATGGGTGCACAGGCTTACTAGAGTCAGCGAGGTTTGGCTCGAAACTGCAGAGATTTCCACTTTAAACGAGTGCAACGCAATCAAATATGTCTTGTAACCTTACGGTGACTGTTCGTACCAGCTTGCACACCACGCTAGTGCCACGGCTACTTCTACACGGCCCGCTGGCGGTAAAGAAGCTCCGAAATCTGGCATTTCAACGACTCACGAATTCGTTCGTCATGTAGACGTGTACTTTAGTCTCCCTGTGGCTGTGCAAAGTGTACGTCGTCGCTGGTTGCGACTGGTTCGGAGTGCGCTGCACAGCGCCCATATGTACTGCGTACGATGACCATCTCTCTCTCTCTCTCTCTCTCTCTTCTCTTCTCTCTCTCTCTCTCTCTCTCTCTCTCTCTCTCTCTCTCTCTCTCTCTCTCCTCTCTCTCTCTCTCTCTCTCTCTCTCTCTCTCTCTCTCTCTCTCTCTCTCTCTCTCTCTCTCTCTCTCTCTCTCTCTCTCTCTCTCTCTCTCTCTCTCTCTCTCTCTCTCTCTCTCTCTCTCTCTCTCTCTCTCTCTCTCTCTCTCTCTCTCTCTCTCTCTCTCTCTCTCTCTCTCTCTCTCTCTCTCTCTCTCTCTCTCTCTCTCTCTCTCTCTCTCTCTCTCTCTCTCTCTCTCTCTCTCTCTCTCTCTCTCTCTCTCTCTCTCTCTCTCTCTCTCTCTCTCTCTCTCTCTCTCTCTCTCTCTCTCTCTCTCTCTCTCTCTCTCTCTCTCTCTCTCTCTCTCTCTCTCTCTCTCTCTCTCTCTCTCTCTCTCTCTCTCTCTCTCTCTCTCTCTCTCTCTCTCTCTCTCTCTCTCTCTCTCTCTCTCTCTCTCTCTCTCTCTCTCTCTCTCTCTCTCTCTCTCTCTCTCTCTCTCTCTCTCTCTCTCTCTCTCTCTCTCTCTCTCTCTCTCTCTCTCTCTCTCTCTCTCTCTCTCTCTCTCTCTCTCTCTCTCTCTCTCTCTCTCTCTCTCTCTCTCTCTCTCTCTCTCTCTCTCTCTCTCTCTCTCTCTCTCTCTCTCTCTCTCTCTCTCTCTCTCCTCTCTCTCTCTCTCTCTCTCTCTCTCTCTCTCTCTCTCTCTCTCTCTCTCTCTCTCTCTCTCTCTCTCTCTCTCTCTCTCTCTCTCTCTCTCTCTCTTTTGCTCTCTCTTTGCTCTCTCTTTGCTCTCTTTTGCTCTTTGGCTTTCTTTTGCCCCTTGGTTCTTTGGCTCTCTGGCTCTTGCTCTCTCTTCCCTTTGTGTGCCAGCTCCCAGCATGGTCTCAGCGGGCGTCTCTGGGATTCCCGCGCCCTCATAGCGCATCACCAACGATAGCTACAGCGTAACCATCTCCATCTCTTTCTCGTGTGGCAGGCCTAGGCAAGGGCTCGCCGGGCGTCTCGGGGATCCCCACGCCCTTACAGCGCATCACTAACGGCAACCACAGCGGAACGAACAGGAAGGAAGCGTTCAAAAAGGGTCCCGGCGTCACAGATGGGTAAGTAAAATACCCTCCACGCTTGCGCGCTCCGCACACATCGCTGGTGCTCCTCCTCAATGTTTGTGACTTCAGCATGGGCACACAGGCGTTTTTTTTAAAGAAGTCAGTACATTTATTTTAGGGTTTTTTAAGCGCGCCAGATTTTTTTTATTCTACATGACGTCACGCAGAATCTTTGCCGTCTGTGTCATTGCAAATACACCCATGGTGTGTGCCAACGCAGCCTGGCTCACTCCGGTAACTTTGATCCTTGAACATATAATTGAAGTGATAATAAACTGAATTGATATTTCTTCTCATGCACAAATGAGCTGATTTTACTTGCGGGTTGCCGCCCTTGCGATAAAAATTGCTTGAAGTCTATGTTTATGCGTGCGCACGATCCCAGACAATACCTTCTGCTCCGTGCGAGCTGGGTTGCTGTGTCAGCGGCCCGCCGACACAGCGGGCCGCTGTCTTCTGTACACCGTAGTAATGGACAAAACACAGTGTTCTCAATTCTGAGAAAACCTGAAATCCTGAGAAATCCTGAGAAATGAGAAAAATCCTGCCGTTTCGCTGTCTTGTCCGAAATGCCCATTCCCCTCGTGGTTGCCCCCTGGATCCGACTAGGCGTAGCATTTGGCCGGATCACGAGCCATGTGGGGAGCTGACTGGCGCTGGCCGACCGGCTGGCAGTATGGCAGTCAAGGAACGAGTGGTTAGTTGCTTGTAAAATTTACATGTGTTGCTGTATTCACTCTGCTCGGACACTTTGGAGCCGTTTGTAATCTGATTTGCTTGATTAAGGGAGAGGAAGAGGGAGAGGGAGGGGAGCGTGCGAACATAACGTGTTCATGGAGAGGCGGAGCAGGCATGCTCTTTGCTTTCGACCGTTGGGCCGTGCTTAAGGGCTGCGCACCACAACTGTTTCACGTCGGTGACGCAAAGTGACAAATTGGACACCCAAGCGCGCGACAGTTGAGTTGTCTTTGAGGGACTCGAAAATTGTAACATCATCGGACGACTTATCAAAGACTTCCAGCAGATGGGGTCCTTGTATTTGATATCTCTACACATAAGCTGCAGTGCGTTTGTACGTGCGTGTGTCGTCACTTGAACGTTTTCGGCCAGTTCCTCGACTGAGCCGTGCCTTCGGCCGTTCCAGCCGCCGCGTGCTGCACCACCAATCCACGGGCTCGCTCCACTCGGACGGCCGCAGCAGCCACAGCGTGTCGCCTGCTACCTCACCCAGCCCCACTGTCGCCAAGCAGCGTCACCTGTCAAACAGAACTGTGAGCCTTACCAAGAGATGGAGCTCCACGTCCGACTTCCAGCCCGTACGCCGGTCACCGGCCGGCGGCGGCGCCGCTACAGCTGTCAGGTTAGTCAAGCTCACCAGTCGGCCAATGACACCGAAGACAGACCTGTGTCCGGTGTTTTTGGTCGTCAGGCGTGCATGTAATGCTAAGCACGAAGCGGAACTGGTCTCCCTTACCCTAAGCGGGGGCGTGAGTTCTTCACTTTTAGTGTTTTGAGCGCTCAGACTTCTAGAACTTAACCGAATGTTTCCATGACGTGTGCATTCATATGCTTTTTGTTCCTTGTTTTTGGTGACTGGGTTGCTTACACCTATTTTGCACTGTGCTTTTATCACGCACCCCTTGATTTATCCCCTTAGTACGCGCACTGTGTGCGGGGCATGCCCCTTAAGCCGCGTTTCTCGAGGCCAGCACCGAACCTTCGCCCTGCACGTGTCCCCAGCCGAGCACTGTACCGTTCTCAGTGAGGGTTCGGCGATGCCGATGGCGTGCGTGATGTGCGGTGTGCGGTGCACGTCTGTTGTAGCGCGCGGCGGCGCCACTCGCACGCGACCCCGCCCCGCCGGCCCGGCTCGTACGCCGGTCAGAGTGGCACCCTGGTGGAGGAGCCCAGAGACATCTGGCGGCTGCACTCGGAAGCTCCGCCGGCGCTCGGCATACGGTACCGCACCGGGCTGTGGTGATAGGATGAGGCGTGAAACCGCTGAGCGTTAGATGGTCGCCGATGTAGCGAAGCGTGGTCAGGACACTGAGTTGTCTGGGGAGATATTGAAAGCATTGTTCTATTTAGTCTGAATGTTCATTCCCTCATTCGCAATTTACCGCTGTTTTCAACGGGAAGACCTCTTCAGGTTCAATCTGTTTATCGTAACTCCAGTGATGCCGTGTGCCCTTCCCTGCATCGCACATGAAAGAGCCCCATATTCAGTCATTTTGTATTTGATATTTACCAATTTCACCTTCATTGGGGGTACCTGCCCTTTTCAAATGACTTTTTGCTGGCTTTTGACTTTTGCTACCTTATCGTTTCGCGTGTGTGTGCACACCCGGTCGGAAGTCGTGCCGACATTTGTGCGCACCGTTGGAGCAGTGCGGCTTCACCAGTGTCTCGTCAGCTGACGCGTCGGATGACTTCAGACGTCAGCGGGTGGGCGCCCAGTCCAGCTCCAGCCGACCGAGCGGCTCCCGATCGGGGTAAGTCGCGAGCGACCGAGCGGCTCCCGATCGGGGTAAGTCGCGAGCCGACCGAGCGGCTCCCGATCGGGGTAAGTCGCGAGCCGACCGAGCGGCCCCCGATCAGGGTAAGTCGCGAGCCGACCGAGCGGCCCCCGATCAGGGTAAGTCGCGAGCCGACCCGAGCGGGCCCCGATCAGGGTAAGTCGCGAGCCGACCGAGCGGCCCCCGATCAGGGTAAGTCGCGAGCCGACCGAGCGGCCCCCGATCAGGGTAAGTCGCGAGCCGACCGAGCGGCCCCCGATCAGGGTAAGTCGCGAGCCGACCGAGCGGCCCCCGATCAGGGTAAGTCGCGAGCCGACCGAGCGGCCCCCGATCAGGGTAAGTCGCGAGCCGACCGAGCGGCCCCCGATCAGGGTAAGTCGCGAGCCGACCGAACGGCTCCCGATCAGAGTAAGTCGCGAGCCGACCGAACGGCTCCCGATCAGAGTAAGTCGCGAGCCGACCGAGCGACCCCCGATCAGGGTAAGTCGCGAGCCGACCGAACGGCTCCCGATCAGAGTAAGTCGCGAGCCGACCGAGCGACCCCCGATCAGCGTAAGTCGCGAGCCGACCGAGCGGCCCCCGATCAGGGTAAGTCGCGAGCCGACCAAGCGGCCCCCGATCAGGGTAAGTCGCGAGCCGACCAAGCGGCCCCCGATCAGGGTAAGTCTCGGCGCTTTGATGCGGTCGGAGCCGGCTGCAGAGAGCCCACAGCGGGACCACCAACGCTTGTGTACAGCTGCCGGTGGGCTGGGGAGAAGGCGAGGTAAGGCGTCAGAGCGCCCACTACTGCCCAGATGGCTGGGAGCCAGCCAGGAGCCAAACGTTATTAAAGGCCTGAAAATATAAACCAGCACGGACGTGGTCCCTCGGAACCTTCAAACAAGCGGGGCGCGGTTGTTTAACATCTAAATATTGTTGGCTTTGCATTTCCGTCCCCTTCATCATTGCCCAAGCTGTTTTGGATGTTCATGCGTCGTGCTCATCAGACACACGGTGAAACAGCCTGTGTAGTCTTCAGATGATGCGCAAAAGCCTCGTCGGTTATTAGTGTGGCGTCCACAGCTGTACCACGCTGTAGCTCTCTCGCGCCGGACCTCCGGCTATGCTGGCCAGTTTACCAATGCAGACACATACAGACCGCGTCAAAGCAGACTTGCCGGCCTCCTTGAATGTCATTTACAGCCCACCGTCAACGGCCGTCCCAATGTCAGTCACAGCCCACCTCACCGGTTGTTCCAACGTCAATCACAGCCCACCATCACCGATTGTCCCAATGCCAGTCACAACCCACCCTCAACGGCCGTCCCAGTGTTATTCACAGACCACCGCACTGGTGGTCCTAATGCCAGTCACAGGCCACCATTAACGGTTGTCTCAATTTCGACCACAGCCCACCGTATTGCAACGGCTGATTGGTGGAGCGATATTTGGGTTAGCCATTGGAGCCGCGCAGACCCCTGCTTCACTGCACGTCGGCATGCCAGACGCCGAGCCGCGGGCTAGGGGCCTTCACCGGCCAAAGTTCCTTTGCCTGACCTGCCCGCTATCCATGGGGCTGTACCACACCCGCACGCTACGCATTTCTAATCAGTCGTACTCACCGATTTCCCGCGCGCTTGCAATTATGCAGCACTTGAGTTCTGAGTCATGACTGAGTTTTGGGAAATTCGGCACCAAGCTTACTCTTTGCGTTGCCAGTTTTCAACACAATGTGAATAAAGATAAACTACTAAAAGGAACGCAGATAGATGCATGGTGAAGGATGTTTACAGCATCTATCCGGCATCTCACAAACGTCCTCCCTCACCCCCCACCCATGTCTGTAATTTTCCCGGAATCTGTACCTGAGCCAGCCCGATACCGATTTCCGATGGGCGTCCACGGGTCTGCCCGCCCGGTGAAGTCCTAGGTCTGATACCGATTTCCGATGGGCGTCCACGGGTTTGTCCGCCCGGTGAAGTTTTGGGCCTGAAGCGCCGTGCGCTCGCCATCGATCTGAGCCGGACCGGGCACTGCCCGAGATGAGGCCGCCGGCCCGGCCCCGGCCCGGCCTCGGCCGCGGCCCCGGCTCCGGCCCCTGGTGACGGGCTGGGTCGATGCGCCGACCTTCTGCAGCGGAGCAGCGCGCCGCCGTTGCAGCCGCCGTGCCGAGCGGCGCCAGTCCAGTCCGAGCGCACCCTGGGGCCGCGCCAGCAATGGTTCACACTGGTGTACGGTGTGCACACCATTCACCTACACCTGATGATTTCCACAGCTAGCTCTTGGTCCATGATCGCGTGGTCGCTGTACAGAGGCCGCGTCGGTACAGTTAAAGCGAAATATCACGACTGGATGTTTGAAAGGTCGCGTGTTCAACGTTCAAGTGGCGGAGGCAACGTTTGACGCCTGTATGCTGCTGAATGGAGGTGTAGGTGAGATTAAGCGCGGGCAGCGCTGCTCCGTTGGTCTCCAAAACTGGAAGGTGAAAAGCTGGTGGGGGGAGAAGCGAGGGGAGTGGAGTGGGGTGGCAACTGAATGAAGACTACCACTGGTACGTAACGTACGCACGGGTTATCACTTTGGTTGGCCCGAACGCCAAAATCAATTGCCTGTGGTGCGTGCCGCACTTATTACGCTCGGCTCTCCGTTGACCTAGTCACTACATTGCTGCTGTTGAGTGGTGGGCAAGTCCTGATATAGGTTTTCATGATTCTGCATGATTTTCCAGATCACCGGATGGTGGAATTATACGCAATAACAGCGAGTTGGTACATGTTAAAGCCTCATGAGCGCCCACTCTTTTTGCGCCCCTGCTTCCAACTAGCCGTGTTCCCCGGACCCGACAATCATAGCGGCCTTGAGCTTATGGGTGAGTCACAGACGAGAGAGGGGCGGCGGCAGAGCTTCCGTGTTTGGCCGCCCGACGACGGTGGCGCTGGTGTCGGTCTGGGCGGGGCGGAAGCCGACGGGCGGCAGGACAGTTGGTCGACGGCAGGGGTGGTGTGTGGTGTGACACGTGGGCGCGCGCACTGTGATAACAACATGGCTGACGACGAGTTTAAGGAGTGAGTTGGCAGCGGAAGCGATATCTTAACTGGGTTAGCCAGCCTCGGAACAGGATAAGCTGACCTTGGATGGGGACAAGCTGACTTTCGAATGGGGGCAAGTTGACGTTCGGATGGGGACAAGTTGACGTTCGGATGGGGACAAGTTGACACTCGGATGGGGATAGGCTGACTTTGGCTGGGGCTAAGCGGGCCTAACAGGCCTTGGCTGGGGGGGGGGGGGTCCGCTGCGGGGTAGATCGGCCAATGCCACGTCGTCAGCCCCGTTGCGTCCACCGATGCCGGCTAACGGTGCTCTTCCATGCAAAGATGAAACAACCAGCCATCGCAGCAGTAGCGTCTGCTGTCCCACGCAGTAGTCAGGTCTCTTAGGCATGACGCCATTTGTAATTGCTCACGCCTGTGTTGATGGCGATGAGGTGCGCGCGTAGGTGGTACTGATGGCATGACATTAACATTAAAATGGGTAGGGGGGGGGAGGGGGCTGAGCCTAAAGTTGACATGACCTGCCGCCCCCCCCCCCCCTCAAATCCTGATTTCTCCCCACATTTCGGCCACCTCTCTTTGTGTCCCCTGATGTCAAAATTGAAACATAAACATGTTAAGCCGGCTTCAAAATGATTCTGTTGAGGAATGACTACCTAAGTGAAGCCGATGTGATTGTGATAATAGTGTATTATGATAGCGATGTTGCTGGTGATGTTTATCTGCCCAGTATACCAGCAGTTCAGACGCCCGCTGCAGTTCAGACGCCCTCTGCAGTTCAGACGCCCGCTGCAGTTCAGACGCCCGCTGCAGTTCAGACGCCTACTGTTTTTTATTGGCCCAACATTCCCTTTTAGCTGATATGCATTGGAGGGCTCGGGAGAACATTACAGAGCTAAACCCAGCAATGTTGGATGGGGCTCAGCCTGCCCCCCCCCCCCCCCCAGAAAACACGTTGCGTGACACTCCTGCCTGCAACCGTTCATCATACCTGGAAATGTCAAGCGTACCGTTCGCAGGCTTATTTTCACTTGTTCCATTGTTTTGGAACGAAATAATTTCGCTCATAGATGCAACCAGGTGTGTGCTCTGCGAATCCGCATATGTTGGCAACACAGTAACAGTGAATGGCCACTACTTCCAAAGGCACGGTACTTACCTCGCTTAAAAGACAAGGGAAAGTTATTTGTCCGTGCTCTTTCGATCACCTGTTGATGCAGAGGTAGCACAGACGCACGCCTCTTGGTACCAACAGATGTGCTGCCTAAAAGTCAAAATTCCGAGCGCCCCTGAAGTGAAGGCTTCAGAGTACGCTCAAAACTCCAATGCATTTTAAAAGCGAACGGCAGACTAAGGGTGTTGTTTTTTTTTGTCTACGGTCGAATGCGCACGGAGGTCGGGCAATCGCGTGGTGGTCCTCAGCAGCTACCAGTGGCGCCACATAACCGCACATTTTCCGATATCATCGAGCGCTGTGAAGTCACGGGTTTTCGATAACCCCACCTAAAGGGCGTACGTCCCAGACACGGGAAATAGCGATCGGAATACCAGACACTGTAGCAGGTGCGCGTCCCAGACACTGGAAACAGCGACGGAATACCAGACACTAGCAGGCGCGCGTCCCAGACACTGGAAACAGCGGTCGAGCGGCGGCGGGCGCGGGCCGCTCGGCTTCAGGAAATCCGTTGCGCTCGATGACCCAGTGTGAGACCCATCAGCCAGCGGCCACGTTCGTGCTGGCTGGCTGCGCTCCTGGCCAGCTCTGAGCCGGATCGATCCGGCGACCCAGCCAGCGCGGCGGCCCCGCCAGCCGGCTGGACGTCCGCAGGCCGGGTGCGCCGTACATTCCGCTCCGTCGGGCTGAACGCCCGCACACGCCGCACCCACTGCACGCGGCTGCCAGGCGTACCAGGCCAGGCTGCCAGGCGTGATACCGTACAGACGGCGCGGGGGCACTCAGGGACGTGATCTTGTAGGGGGGGGGGGGGGGGGAGGGGTGGACCAGCTTACTATTACGGCACTGGCTTCAGCCTTCAGGACTTGCGTCCAATGCTGGTAGTGTTCGAGCGGGCTAATCAAAAGGCTGTACAAATGAGTGTTGTCGGTTCAAGACAGACCAGAATACGCTGCCGACCGTGTGTCATTTGATGATGTTTCAGGAAACACCCGCCAGTTCCGATGTTCGCGGCCTACAACGCACACGCCTTCCCCATCCTCCGTAAGGCAATGTTTCTGTGTGCATCGATCGGGTGGTTCATCCGCCATGGTTTGTTTGTGTCCACAGCACGCGCGACATGGCGTACAACGCCGAGGAGGGCGTGCTGAAAATCTACCTGAAGGGTCGGCCTGCCAACCTGTACGCGCCGACTGACGTCATGGAGGACTATGACCTTGAAGAGGTCATCCCGGAGCCCGACCAGCAGCTGAAGCTCGAGTGGGCGTATCCTTCCCAACCAGAGCGGGGAACCCCGGAAATCTCGACCCGTTCCATTGGATCCAGGTTACTAAAAATACTTTTGATTCCTGAGGTTTCTGGCTGAACGAGCACAGATCTGACATCACTGAGCTGGGTAGCTTTTTGTAGTGTGTTATTCGGCTCTTGAGTGACGGCCCATATCAAATGTAAGAGGTAATTTTTGGTAGGAAAACAACAGCAGTGGTGCAAAAAGCATATTAGCGTTTTTCATGACCATGCATAACTCTGCACGTATATTTTTTGTTGTCTGTGTACCTTATACCCATTGTACGTTATACATAGGCTGCGTTCTAAGGACTGTTGCGTTCCCAACTGCGTGATCCCCTTCCACTGCGCTCTTCCACTTTTTGGGTGGGAGATATTTCACGACAACAAAGTCCCAACTCCTCAGCGTGGTAGTGGCGTCTTTGGTTTGAAGTTTCCGTGTTCCGCGAAACTCATCGAGTCACGCAACTTGCTTTGGCACGCAATGTTTTCAGCAAGGGGTGGTCAATACTTTCCAACAAAGGCTTTCTCAGAAGGCTGTGACGAAGCAATCGGAGCGGAGTCAACATGCATCTTAGTCTGTTCTCATACAGTTATTTTAGTAGATTGCGTCGTCCTTTTAACTGGAGTGGCGAAAGCTGCCGCACGCCGCTCAGCGTCGATGGAGTGGTGAAAGCTGCCGCACGCCGCTCAGTGTCGATGGCGACATGACCCTGTCGGGCACGTACCTGCAGTTGTGTTTGGCCGGGACGTCTGGCGCAGCGGTCAGACATGAGTCTGTCGGGCACGTACCTCCAGTTGTGTTCGGCCGGGATGTCTGGCGCAGCGGTCAGACATGAGTCTGTCGGGCACGTACCTCCAGTTGTGTTCCGGCCGGGACGTCTGGCGCAGCGGTCAGACATGACCCTGTTGGGCACGTACCTCCAGTTGTGTTTGGCCGGGACGTCTGGCGCAGCGGTCAGACATGACCCTGTCGGGCACGTACCTCCAGTTGTGTTCGACCGGGATGTCTGGCGCAGCGGTCAGACATGAGTCTGTCGGGCACGTACCTCCAGTTGTGTTCCGGCCGGGGCGTCTGGCGCAGCGGTCAGACATGACCCTGTCGGGCACGCACCTCCAGTTGTGTTCGGCCGGGATGTCTGGCGCAGCGGTCAGACATGACCCTGTCGGGCACGTACCTCCAGTTGTGTTCGGCCGGGACGTCTGGCGCAGCGGTCAGCGGCGCCAGACGCGGCCAAGCGTGGTCGCCGTGGCCGGCCGGTGACGGGCTGCGCGTGGGTAAGGCCGCCTGCACCGGATGTCGCCGGTTCCGGTTACGCTCCGGTGAAGCTGTGGGGCAGGAGCGTCTCGGCTCGGTGAGCGGCGGCCCGGCGGCGTCGCGGCTCTGGCCTTGGTCGTCCCAAGCGTGGCGTCTGCTCTGCTAGCGTGCCCGGTTGAGCGTTAACGCGCATCAAAGTATTGTTTGTCGTCAACGCGGGGGTGAAATGGCACTGCAAGAAGGGGCGCGATGGTGCCCACACCTCAATGGCACTGCAAGAAGGGGCGCGAGGGTGCCCACACCGTCCTTTTCGTGGTACCACAGCGTGGGTTTGCTGTAGTGCGGTGGTGAAGCTGTGCGTATGGGAAACCAAAGGAACGGAGTATGATTTCCCTGCGGTACTCGCCCTTCCTACCAGGGTGAGAGGTAGATGACTTCAGATACCCTCTGCTGCCCAATACGTTGCGACCCGTCGATGACCGTGCGCTGATTGTGAAGTTAAGAATGACAATGTGGACGCAGTGGCGAGTGCCAAGGATGTTGTTGTTCCCAGATCCGACGAGAAATTAAAGCGGGACAAGTTAGTACTATTCAGCTGGAAGGAATCAAGGAAATAAAAATAATGAACTCTTGTTCGCTGTTTGTCACGTCATTGACGAAAACGGTACAAGAAGTTGCAGTGATCTTGGCGGATTCCCTGTGCAGCTGTAGGGGGGGGGGGGGGGGGCGAACGCAGCGTTTGACTGGCTGCAGCACTTGAGTAATGCTTATATTGTACGGGTATGGGGGTGGTGCCCCCGCCTCCCGCTTTATCATGTTCTGCACGCACAAATCGTGGACGATGTTTCCTTGACCAACGCCCTACAGCTATGGCTACCGCGGCAAGGACTGTCGCAACAACTTATACTTGCTGCCCACCGGCGAGATGGTCTACTTCGTGGCCGGCGTAGTGGTGCTCTACAACCTGGAGGACCAGATGCAGCGCCACTACACGGGCCACACTGACGACGTCAAGTGGTGAGTGACGCCCGAAGCAGCTAACGAGGGCCAGGTCAGCCGCTGGGTCACGGTCGCTGTACCCATGCGGGTAGTGAGTGACGCCCGAAGCAGCTAACGAGGGCCAGGTCAGCCGCTGGGTCACGGTCGCTGTACCGATGCGGGTAGTGAGTGACGCCCGAAGCAGCTAACGAGGGCCAGGTCAGCCGCTGGGTCACGGTCGCTGTACCGATGCGGGTAGTGAGTGACGCCCGAAGCAGCTAACGAGGGCCAGGTCAGCCGCTGGGTCACGGTCGCTGTACCGATGCGGGTAGTGAGTGACGCCCGAAGCAGCTAACGAGGGCCAGGTCAGCCGCTGGGTCACGGACGCTGTACCCATGCGGGTAGTGAGTGACGCCCGAAGCAGCTAATGAGGGCCAGGTCAGCCGTTGGGTCACGGACGCTGTACCGATGCGGGTAGTCTGCCGCCTCAGTTCAGCTTATTGTCATGATGTTGGACGATATATATCTCCAGGCGAAAGTCAGAGACGATTTCAGCGATCGTGTGTGTGTGGTGACATGCAGCCGGCGTGTCGTGTGAGGACTGCGTCTGATCGTGCCCTCGTGCTCCGCCTGGCAAGCGGGGCTTACCAGCATGGCGGCTGGATTCGGGTTGATCGATGTGCTTGGGTGCTCTGAGATTATCGCGTTATTGGACACAGATTGTTTGACAAATCGATCGGCGACGTGGCGTGTGTGTACTGCATGTGTGACGAACTCATGCTCGTAAAAACATGTTGTCGGTTACGAATAGGCATGCAGCGCGTAACAGGTGTGAAGGCTGACCAGTGTCATCGAGCTGACGGGGCTGGGCGAATTTGGAGCGCTTTGGGCCCCCGCTGATTGTCTTCCTTGGAATGCCGGGCATGTTCGGATTGCTTGACCTTATGACGGTGGTCTTCCTTGGAATGCCGGGTATGTTCGGATTGCCTTGACCTTATGACGGTGTAAGAAAGTCTTTCTTTTCTTTTCTCTCACGCACCTGTCATTCGTCCGTCATTGGCACTTTGCAAGTTATTGTCAAAAGTACATTGGTGGCAACGCATTTCCGTCACCTAGTGATGTGCGTATTAAATCGACATTCCCGTTCACAACGCCGCTTTTAGTTGCGAAAGATTGCCATCGCCGCAGCATTGCCTCGCGCAAACCGGGCGTCTGTTTCAGCCTGGCCATCCACCCGAACCGGTACACCATCGCCACCGGCCAGTGCGCCGGCACCAAGTCGGACGCGCCGGTGAGTGAGCAAACACTGCGGTCGGCCGGCTGTCATATGCACGGCTGGCTGCGCTGCTGGGGCCGTTCAGTCGAGTGCAGGTCCCGGTGAAGCTCGATGCGTCGAGGCAGCGTGGTCTATTTATCTCAGCCGGCGCCGTGATTTCCTGTTTTGAACCAGCACGCCTTACTGTGGCGAGAGCAACCAGAATAGTGGATGCCATTATGCCGCCCACTGGCTGTCTGAATGTCGAGTGCGATCGATGCACCATGAGCTTGGTAACGTACGGAAATATTGAGACTCAGGAGTAGGTAAGGCCTAACCGTGGCGAGGACCATCCCGATGGCGCACATTACTGTATCTTGATCTTTGGAAAAAAGATCTTGTCCCGTGGAAAAGTAACGCTAATTTATTTTTTGTCGAGTGGTCTTATCTAATCCGCCATTTTTCATCACCGGCAACCGATGCACGGTAAATGCAAGGCTGTCCCGGCCGCTCGCAAAGCATTCGAAACAGTTCAAACATTTTTAAATCTAAGATCTGGGTTTTATTGTTTGGAATATCCTGTGTAGATTGCAAAAAAGCAGAGTTTCGCGGCTTCGTATCCATCATGCATAAATCACAATAAAGTACAAATGCACTGATTTTGCAAAGGTCGGGGCTTTTTCCTCTCAGAAGCTTTATGGAAGGGTTTGTTATGACTCGCCATTTCTGCACTACCAAACTCACCGTTTATCAGAATCGCGAGAAGAGTGTTAAAGTTTAATGGTCTCAAATGGGCTGTCGTCGCGCACCATTTCTGGAGCGTCAGCGACTGCAGTGGTCATGTTAACGCTCAGGAACCATGGTGTAACCGGGATCCGTAGTGTAATCGTACCCAGACCCCCACGTGGGAGCTGAATGTGCTAACCACCCGGCCGCTGCGCCCCCAAATGGACACAGCTGGCTGTTCTGGAGTACAAATTTCAGGAATTTTCACCACGCCGTAGATGCTGTGGTCAAGTTCAGCTAACGGTACCGGAAATTTCATAACCTTGTACTCGACTGTGGTAGCCTGTCCTTCACTGCCCTTCGCCTCCCCCTCCTCCAACTTTTCCGCACCACTATTCGCCCCCCCCCCCCCCCTCCCCGATGGGCGCCGCGGAACCAGAACAAGCCTTAGTTGTCTAGCTAGGGAGTGCGATCTTCACCCTTTACCAACAATGGTCGGTCATAATGACATGGTGGTCATGGTGACTTTCGTTTGCAGCTGCGCATAAGCTTTGGTGCCGGGGAGCTCGCGTGTACCGGTGCGTTCCATGGAGGAGTATATCGCTGCTCTGTGTGCAGACATCTCTATTGAAGGACATGCGCACCTGGTATTACTACCCTATCCGGATGGACAAATGGCCCTTTTGCCTGGTGTATTTTCCATTAGTGGACGTATTGGCTTGAGTCTTGATTTCTATGTCTATCTTGAGTGCATAACGTCCGTATGAGTACTACACCGAAGCAGCGTACTTACAATATTTATAGATTTCTGTAGGATCTCATAGAGTGGTCGTGTGAATGACGCAGGACACATCTAGATGGGCCCGCGCAGCCACCCAGACAAACGAGTAATGTCACGGCCTCCCCTCTCTGTGCAGCCCCAGGTGCGCGTCTGGGACAGCGCGAGTCTGAACACGCTGCACGTGCTGGGTGTGGACGAGCTGGAGCGGGGCGTCTCGTGTCTGGCGTTCAGTCTGACGGACGCCGGCGCCATGCTGGCCTGCGTCGATGAAGGCCAGGACCGCACCCTGTCCATCTGGGACTGGCAGCAGGAGACCAAGCTCACGGAGAACAAGGTTTGCCGGCAATAGCAGATCGTGTGCGGTTGTCGGCTTTTCAATCCAGCCGTGCGTTGCCTTTGTTTAGTTTGTTTGCGATGTTGCCAGCAACGGTGGCACAATTCGTAAAGGCGGATTCACTGTCGCAGAAGCGCTCTTGAGCTTAGAGACTTGAGCTGCCTCCCCCCCCCCCCAAATAAGCAGCACCTGAAGTGGCTGCGAATACGATGAAAATTGTGATGCCTACCCTTCCCCTCCACCACGAGGTTGAACCGGGTCCTTCTTAAATATTTGACCAGTACATTCTAGTTAAAAAGAAGTCACCACCAGGCAATCGATAACGTCCTTGTTTTGTTTTGTTCTGCTTTGAGCGTGCCATCCATGCCGCTGAGCGCCCGTCGAGTGGGGCCGCCGATGTCGTGGTAGAGCCGGGCCGCGTCGGCAGGCGGCGACCGAGACGGTGGTGGACGTCCAGTGGCACCCGCTGGACAGGGGCGTGCTGATGACCTGCGGCCGCCAACACGTCAACTTCTGGCTGCTGGAGGGGGGCTCGCTGATGCGGCGCCAGGGCGTGTTCGGCGGTCGCGAGCGGCCCAAGTACGTCACCTGCATGGCCTTCACCGACGCCGGCGACCTGATCACCGGAGACTCGGACGGCCGCATCCTGCTCTGGGAGCGAGGTGCGGACCGGGGCCAGCTGGGGTCGGGAACAGAAGACGGGGTCTTGGACAGGAGGATAATGGGCCAGGGACAGAAGAACATGGGGTCCGAATCAAAAGGTAGGGTCAGGGACAGAAGAAAATGGCGTCAGCGATAGAAGGAAGTGGAATGAGGGACAGGAGAAGATGAAGTGAGGGTCAGCAGTGGGTGGAGTAAGGGGCAGGAGGAGGTGGTGGGGCGTTGAGTTAATCCAGTTTGAAAAGGTCAGTCGTGTTGTAACATATAACGCCGGTGATCGAGACGTGACCAGTAAATACGCGATCTAGGAGGTGAACAAGCCTTTTCTTTGCTTGAGGACAGTGTCCGTGTGTGAATTATTCGCTTCTTCCACGTCCGCAAGTCAGCTTCCCTTGTCCTGTCCCTTTGTTGTCGTCTCGCGTGGGCGAGTATCGGCAGCGGGTCTCCACGAGATCTTCCTTCACCTGCAGGCGGCAACCAGGTGGCCAACACTGTCAAGGACGCGCACGAGGGTACCCTATTCACTCTTCTCGTGGACAAAACCGGCAACATCATCTCCGGTGGCAAGGACGGGAAGATCGTGGAGTGGGATCGTGACTTGGCGCAGACCGGAAATGTGATAGAGGTAAGAAGCATGTGAGATAAAAGTTAGCTCACGCCTGAAGATTTTTTTTCGCTGGCTGTAAGGTGTGACTCTGTGCAAGCGTGATTTATCACCAGCCGTCTCATTTTGGCCCGTGTATCCGCGATGCGTTTTTGTCCTTTTCTTTTGCTTGGCCTCGGCCGCTGCCTGCCGATTTCGACGCGCACGTCACGTGACTTGGTCTGACGTTACGACTCCAGGTGCTCACAGGGCATGTTGGGTCAGTGACCAGGAGTAGACCCTGGTCTTCGGGTGCCATCCGAGTGCGCTAAGTCGGTGACCCTACCTGGCCGTACCTGCCACCCCGGGCTGCTGGCTGAGGTCATCACGCCCCGTGACTGCTGGCCGTCCGGTGCCGGCTGAACACGGCCTGTCAGTGACCCGACACGACCCTCCGCCCTCAGGTGCCGGCCGAGTTCGGCGCTCCGCGTATGGTGTCGTCGGGGCGCGGCGACCAGCTGCTGATTGGCACCACAGCCAACAGCATCCTGAGTGGCCAGTGGGCGGCCGAGCCGGCGGCCAGCGTGCGCGGCCATACGGACGAGGTGTGGGCGGCGGCGGTGCACCCGGGTCGGCCGCAGTTCGCCACCGGCGGCTGGGACGGCCGCCTCTTCATGTGGGATCTGGTCACGCACGCGCCCGTGTGGACCATCGACTTCGAGGTGAGCACCGTTCGGCGACTGGGCCGGAGTGCCTTAGTGACTTCACAAGGCACGCCCGCTCCGTCTTTATCTGAGCAGCCGGTTGTGAAAAGTGGGAGGGGACAGCGCGGTGTAATCGGTGTAGAGAGCAGTCGCCCAGGACCTTGAGCTCAGCAGAAGTTGGGCTCAATCTACAGATGGCTTGAAAGTCGGTCTACGATTCTTGTGGTGGGCCGACCGACGCTGCGATCGGCGCAATAAAAGATACGCTAAATGGCCGCAGTTTGAAAGGTATCGCTAAAACAAAAAGAACTTTATGGATTGTTTGCGCCACTAGAGCATTAATGTTATGGTGGAGATAGTTTTTTGTATACCAGCTGTATCCACGTCACCCTGTATGGCCACAAAGGCATGGAATCAAGACAGCTCACGCCCAGGTCCCTCCGACTGGAACTGTCCGAGCAACGGGCTGCCCCCGCGGGCTCATGTGATCTCTCCTTTCCCTTCTCCCTCCGCCTTCCCTTTTGTGAGGACGGGGCGCAGAGTGTCTGGTCAGCGCGCCTCCTCCCCCGTGCCCCCGTTCAGCGCTGTCACAGGCTCCAGCGTCTGTCCGCCTGTCGTGTCTCCCTCCGCTCCCAAGGACCGCCTCCACTGCGACCGCCGTTCGCCGCAGGACGGCGTGCAGAGCGTTTGCTTCTCGCCGGACGGCTCCCAGCTGGCCGTGGGCCTGGTGACCGGTCGCTGGGACGTGCTGGACGCCGACTCGCGCGAGACGGTCTTCTCGCGCTCCGACGGCGACGAGCCGGTGCAGGCGCTGCGCTTCTCGCCGGACGGCCGCATGCTGGCGCTCGGCTCGCGCAACAACACCGTCTACATCTACGAGACCAGCGAGGCCGGCTTCTCGCGCGTCGCCAAGTGCACGGTGAGGTCATGGACACGGCAGCTGACGGTGGGGAAGGGCTGGTGGCGGTGTTTGTCTCTGAGATGACGCGAACTTGGATCAGTCGGGATACATGGACTGGTGGTGGTGAGATCATGAGCGGGCGTGAGTTTGATCAGTGAAGACATGTGAACCTGTGGTAGTGAGGACATGATTGGGCGTGAGTTTGATCAGTGAGGACATGTGAACCTGTGGTAGTGAGGACATGATTGGGCGTGAGTTTGATCAGTGAGGACATGTGAACTTGTGGTAGTGAGGACATGAGTGGACGTCCGATCGGTTGGGACATATGGACCGATGATGATGAGGGCATGAGTGGGCGTGAGTTCAATCAGTCGGGACGTTTAGACCGGTGGTGGTGAGGACGTGAGTGGGTGTGAGCGAGCACGCCTGACACTCCGGACACGGTATCATTTCTCTGGACGAGGTGTACATTCTTGAAAGTAAAATTTATTAATAGTGTTTGGCTGGGACACCAAGTGATAAATTCCACATTTTAAAGGCAAATTTGATCGGGCGGATATTGTGCTGCTCCACCGAGCTCGACGGAACCAACGCAGGTCGGCAGACAATGATTTTGAAACTGGTGTATTCTAGCGACATTTCGTAGTCGTCAATTAATGGCGCATCCAAAGCGGGCAGAGCTGGTTTCACTGATGCGGAGTGAATGGGGTGGCTTTTTGCATCGGCCTGTGCCGTGTGCTGTTGTGTGGCCACGTCCCCACCTGCGCTGGTGCGGGCAGGGCCACTCGAGCTTCATCACGCACCTGGACTGGTCGGCCGACTCGGCGCTGCTGCGCACCAACTCGGGCGACTACGAGCTGCTGTACTGGACGGCCGCCACCGGCCGCCAGCTGACCCAGCCTTCCGAGCTGCGCGACACAGAGTGGGCCTCACACACCTGCACGCTGGCCTTCAATTCAGTGGGTGCGTGACCAGGTGGCGGCCTGACCAGAGACGCGAAACCGAGGCCACTCAGGTCCGAACAGCGCAGTGCTCGATGTGTTCTCCCTTGCCAGCATTTGGCGGCAGTTTAGTGATAAGCGAGATTAAGGATTTCAACTGCGTGACGCACAGGCTGCACGGAATGTGTCTGAGTACCGAATCTAAGAAAAATGTCTACAACAGATGTGAAGTTTCCGGCCCAATGTCTGCAGTGATTTTCACAAAAGTGGCAGAGCAGGTTTTTAGACGTACGGCAACTCACGCAGAGTCCGTAAGGCTCGTGAAATGGAAGGGTGGTAAACGCTGCAACTCCTTGTCGGAATGTGGGGACACCACTGTCACGCCAAAACAGCGGCGTGAGGGTCGAGCACGAGCTACGCCCCAGACGTGTCCGCTGATGCCCGGGTGGGTCGTCTAACCGTTGACACGGGGCCGCCGCAGGTATCTACCCGGAGGCGGCGGACGGCACCGACGTTAACACGTGCTGCCGGACCAGCGGGGGCCAGCTGATGGCGGCCGGCGACGACTGGGGCCGGGTCAAGCTGTTCCCCTACCCTGCCAACCACCCTAAGGTACCGGCAGTATTGGCGGTTGGAGGCATGCATCCTGTTGCATACGTTTACGTTGACATGCCACGGGGAGGTAATGCGCCGGCAACAAGCGACATCCTGATGCCATGCCATTTCTGCGTTATTTTCACACGGAAGCGGATGTCCTGAGTTTGTATCACTTGCGTAAATTTCACTCAGATCTATTTGAGCCTATTGAATGAATGTGATGTCTGCGGTATTTCGCCACCTTAACAACCATTACTTCTTTGGATGTGTTTGGGATTTGCGCATGGTAAAGCGAATGTCACGGTTTCAGACTGGTAACCGCGCGTACCAGGGCCACAGCAGCCACGTCACTCACGTGGAGTTCTTCGCTGAGGACGATCGTCTGCTGTCGACGGGTGGCCGCGACACGTCTGTCCTCCAGTGGGCGGTGGAATAGACGCTGGGTCTGCTGTCGCCGCGGCGGCGCGAGCGTCCCAGCGTATCTGCGCTCCTGAGGCCGCAGTGAAATGAGCCCCGACATTATTCATTCCTTTCGGGCGTCCACTTGTGGATTGCTTCGTCAGTGGAATCCTGGTGTGGATTGGTAAGGTGATACCGCGAACGCTGTGGGAAACGCGCTCGTCCAAGGTTTGTTTCATGGCACAAGAAGCAGCCTTTATGTTCTGCGACGCCTTGCGCTCTATCGCATTTAAATAATGGATGGATGCGGAACTTGTGCGGCGCGAGGCAGGTCGCAGCCAAGGGAGCGTTGGCGCGCACAATGGTCTGGACTTCTCGCTCTTTCTCTGCCAGAATAGGAGATGTGGTTTCGTTCAACGATACTGACTGGCCTAGCTTCAGCGAAGACTGCTGTGGAACTGTGCGTGTTCAGTCGTCTGGGAGCCCCATGCAGGCGTCTTTTGTGGGAGCTGAGGAGGCTACATGCCTCGAGAGAGCATATGCGCACTGGTCGGTGAGAATAGCCAGGCGATACATTTCCGCCTGTGTTGAGAGGTGCATGCACGTCGCTTTGTTGTGTGAGTGAAAACGTGGGCCGAACTTGGCCGAAATCTGTATCCTGCGCTATGGCAACTGAGCTATAAACCTTTTTGACGCCGGCTCACAGCAGTGAAGGCGACAAGCACACGGCCCGTTCGTTTTGAAATAAATGCTGAATAAAACCCCATGTGTTTTTTGAGCTGTAATGGAATAAATTGATGTCGTTATACGACATAATGCGCCCCACACAAGCTCTGTAAAGCGCAGTTCGCACTGGGCACGTAGTTCCAAACGAAGAGATGAAAACCCTGGCGCAAAGATGCGCGGAAATGGGTGTCGACAAGATAGGTTCGTCAGCCGTTGCGTGAGGTCACACATGAATAGTGTCGCATGGGGCCATCTTGAACGTCAACAGCCGCCATACTGATTGCGTCCAAGTCAGCACCAGTTGATGGCAGACGCATCACGTCGTCATCGCTTTTAATAGGCGCCCGGCCTGAGACGACCGCGCTCGGCTGGGGGTCTGAGACGACCGCGCTCGGCCGGGGTCTGAGACAACCGGCCGGGGGTCTGAGACAACCGCGCCCGGCCGGGGTCTGAGACGACCGCGCCCGGCCGGGGTCTGAGACGACCGCGCCCGGCCGGGGGTCTGAGACAACCGCGCCCGGCCGGGGTCTGAGACGACCGCGCCCGGCCGGGGGTCTGAGACAACAGTGTCCCGGCCGGGGGTCTGAGACAACCGCGCCCGGCCGGGGGTCTGAGACGACCGCGCCCGGCCGGGGGTCTGAGACGACCGCGCCCGGCCGGGGAAGTTGACTTTCCCCCTGGGATCTCCAACTTCCATACCTTGTACGAGAAAAGTAAAGATGCTGTCATAAACGTCTTGTCAAAGCATGAGGACAGCGTTTCACATTTTTCATATTCCGTCAAATTTGAGGTCGCAGAGGTCACGGTCAAATCCGAGGTCAAAGACGAGGCCAGAGGTCACGAAAAGCTAAAAATGGTTCTTCTGATTGACGGGGTCAAAACATGTGTTAGCACATTAAGACGGATATTAAGGGTTCAGAAGTAAGTGTGGAGTCCATTATGAACCCCCCCCCCCCCGCCCGCACACACACACACGCAAGGGTCAGGTCAGAACAGACACCGTTCAACATTGGGTTACCAGTTGCCAACAAGAACGGTACTTTTTTGTTTTCTTTCACAATGTGCTCCCGACCAGGTGTATTCTATTAGGTGCAGCGGTGAGACAAAAGTATGCCAGACACATGCATGGCATTTAATGCTGACCTAGAGGTCGGCTTAGGCCAAATTGATAAGCAGAAATTGATAATGTTATTCTGCGGTTAGAAATAGTATTAGATATGTGCAGGTGCTGAAAATTGCAAAGCTCTGTACAGATTATGCATAGTACATTCGACGCTTGGTAGTGTATTTGTAACAAACTGAGAACAGGGACGTTGGTACATGAAACTATACGTCATCAGTTGCACAAATGCGATATAGAAGTGGCTATGCGAGTCACACTCGTTCGTCTGGCCTCTCATCTACTGACGACAGAAGTCATTGACCTTGGATGACCCCCTATGACCTTGCATGTCCTCACGCGACGTACTGTAGACTCATTATGCATTACGATGATATCACCACATGTGTGCAGCTGAGAATTCAAGCTCTGTGCCCAAAAATTACCGAATGAAACAGCCTGTTTTGAGCTCAGCATGTGTATTGCAGAAGGCCCCTCAGGGGTAGATCGTAATCTGGGCAGAGCTCTGTGGTCATTTTATGTTTTTAAATGAAGTTAACATTCTTTTCCTCATAAACAAGCACCAGAATCACACAAAAATGCGTACGAATTTATATTATTCACCAAAGATAGCAAAGGTTAGCTTAATATGAAGTCACGGAACTTGCCTCTTTTGAACAATTTGAAGTAAATAAACTGTAGGTGCTATTATGATTTATTACTTTAGCAAGTTTCATCAGTGGCAAATGAACCCCCCAAAATATTTGTGGTCAGTTTTTAGAGGTCAGCCTCTTTGATCGTCACCAGCCTTGGCAGACCGTATTCGATGCTTAAAAGAATGATCGGCCGGACTGCTTCACACGCAGTGGTGAACTGCCGCACACGACGCCACAGGGAGAGACCCCCATCCACGCGCCCGGGCAGCACCTTTTATACTCCTTCCAAGGCTCATACCCGCAACACGATCTGCGTGCGACTGGCCGGCGCCACCGTGACGCACCGCCCCGAGCCGTGATTGTTCCCCTCACTCAGACATGAGTCATTACCCCACTCGCCTTACATGCTGACACACTGTCCCAGGGAATGGTCCGCCGCTACACCCACCCCTGATCTTCAAAGATCATACACTCACAGAAACGTTTCATACTATCCAATCACTCGACACATCATAAAGTTGGCTCGGTTGCCGGCGCACATGCTGGCTGCGTCGCAGCGGCATCGCCGCAACTTCTTCCGCCGGCTGCTCAGGACAGGCCAGGACGCCCACCGGTTCCGTCCCAGTCGCCGTCGGTGCGTGCTCCGCGTTGTCCGGGTTGTCAGCGACTGCGCCAGAGGCCTCCTGGTGTAACGGGCCCGCGGCCAGGTATAGGGGCCAGTCGTCGTCCTCGTCACTGGCGTCACATCGTGATGCATCGCTGTACCGAGGCCGCAGGTCCCGCACGTGTCACGGTGTGCCGTCCACCTCGGCCACTTGCGATGACACGATCCGCGTGACGACGCCCTGACGGGATGTTGCCGTACATCGCGTACCACGGCGGCGCACCCAGACGAGGTCGCCAGCTTGGACCGTGGAGTTGCCGAGCCTCGTCTGGCGCCGGTGGTGACCACTGCGAGTCATCGGCCGTGTCACGCTGGCTGGGCTGCACGCAGTCTCGCGTCTGGTACTGGTAAATGTCAGCGGCCGGTGTGTCCGCGGCAGAGTGGCCAGAGCGCGGGGTGGTGTTGTACAGGTGCACGACCTCTGCAATGGCGCAACGTCGTCGCGCAGCGATCACTTTTATCGTGCGATGACTGCGCTCCACGATGCCGTTGCCCCCTGGCTCGTGGACGGCCCGGAAACGAAGAGCTGTGCCCCACTTTGATGCCAAAGCAGGCGTCTGACGGCCCCGGAAGACCGTGTCGTTGTCCGCCAGAATTTCTGCCGGCGCGCCGCGCTCGTAGAAGATCGCCTGTAGATGTTGAACGACTTTCGTTGCATCGGCACGGCGCAGCTGCCGCCACAGGCTGTACCGGGACGGGCCGCAGTCAGTCAGGGACAGGTAAGATCCACCCTGGAAGAGGGTCACGTCTATCGCGAGACGTGTCCATGTGTCGGGGACGTGCAGCGATCCATGCCGCCACCGCGTTAGCGCTGCATCGATGGATCGGCACACATCGCACCGACCCACAACCGATCGTACGCCGGCACTCTCGTGTGCGGTCATGATCCGCGCCTCGCTGTCCATGCTATCGCTGCCCTTCGCCGCGTCAGCACCATCATGTACGGCGGCAGCTGCCGCCCTGGAGCCGATGCGCGTGGTCTTATCACGTCCCACGGCACCTGCACCCCCGGTGCGTGCCAGGATCCTAGCTGGCACACCGTTGTCTACCTGAGTCCCGCGCAGCCATTCCCTTGGGACACGGGTCAGAGTATCCGCTAGGTTTTCGTCCGACCGCACCAGCGCGACTGTCAGCGTTAGGCTCAGCTTATCCACCAACTGCCGGATGACGTCAATGCGCCGTCAGCGTTAGGCTCAGCTCATCCACCAACTGCCGGATGACGTCAATGCGCCGTCGAATCAGCATTTCGCCTTGGTGCGGAGGTGCGCTCGGCCACTCAGTGCGTCGTCAATCCACCTATGGACCGTAGCGGAGTAGGTGCGGAGGTCGATGATCTTCATCCCCCAAGCGATGGCCAGGTTGATCCCGCGCACCGCCGCATCCAGCTCCGCCATGTTGATGTGTGTTGACATCGCGGTCTCAGGGCGCAGCCAGCAGGCATCCTCTACCACACCGTCGTCTGGGCTCTCGATAATCCACACATGCAGCGATGGCGCTGGCGTCCGTCCAAACGATGACCTTTTCACCTGTCAGGCGCCGCGGGCCGCGGCCCGGGTCGTTCGTCCTCAGTCTATCTGCGATCTGAGAGATCTGGGAGAGGAGTGCCACGTCCGTGGTGGCGTCATCCCATCCGTGCGTGACGGCATTCACCCAGCGCTTCAATCAAGCGACAGCAGGGCGAAGCCAGCCGCTGACGGGCAGATGAGCCACCAGCCGGCCGCACCATGCGAACACAGCACGCCGCGTGACCTGCTCCGGTGGTGCAGCGACGCCACTGTCGCGCAGATGGGCAGATGAGCCACCAGCCGGCCGCACCATGCGAACACAGCGCGCCACGTGACCCGCTCCGGTGGTGCAGCGACGCCATTGTCGCGCGACCAGTGCAGCTTCCGCTCCACCTGCTGCACGCGCAGGCCGAGCAGGCGCGCGCTGTCCGCTACACGCTCCGGCGCTTTGCAGGCCAGGTCGAAGCGAGCGAAGTGACGCACCACGCGGTCTGTGCTCACGATGTTCTCGTCGATCAGCAGGCCGTCCACGTACGGGGGCACGGCGCGCTGCATGTCGTCGTCCTCCGCCAGCACTGCACGAACGACAGCCTTCATGATGAGCTGGGCGACGTCGAGCCCAAACCCCAGTCGTGTCAGGCAGTAGCGCTGTCCCCGCACCATGGCCGTCTGGTAGGGCCACAGTCGGCGTTCCAGGCGCAGCTGCAGGTACGCCTTGCGCAGGTCCACCACAGCGACGCGTGTCCCATGTCGCCGCCACTTTCGGAGCTGGTCGACGAGACGTCCGCGTCCGCCGTGTGGGCCGTCACAAAGCTGTTTAGCTCGCGATAGTCCAGGACAGGTCCTGATTGTCCTGATTGTCTTGTCCTGATTTGCCTCACCTTGTCCTGATTTGCCTGCCGTACCGCCATCAGCGGCACCAGACCGCGCGGCGGTCCATCCACCTGTTTGTCGTAAGGCGTCAGCCAGCCATTGCTGATCCACTCGTCGATCTCCGCGTCGTAAGCCTGCCGCGCGTCCGCGGGTACAGGATACTCGGCCACCACGTTGCGTAGACATTCTGGACCTGTGCCTTCCGTCCTCTTCCAGGCGACCGTTCACGCCTGCTGCTCGCCG